GAAATAGTAATCGTTTATAATTTCGCCGGATCATCTCGTTTTTAATTAGCACATTCGAGGTTTCGAGACAACTTTTAACGAAGCGCGATAGCGTTAACGTGACATTGATGAACGATGTTTGGTGGCTCGTGATAAACAACCCAAAGACGCCGGTACATTTACAAACGACACACTGTAAACCATCTCAGTCCGTATTCTTAGTTTTTTCGGTAAAGTCACGTTGAAGGGAAACAACAAAATCATAATATATTGTTTTATATATTTTTTATTATTTTGTTGTTTCCCTTCAACGTGACTTTACCGAAAAAACTAAGAATATGAATTACTGCAGTCACGAAAGCTTTAAATCAAAATCTCAGTCCGTGTTGTTTCTAGAAACAATTATAATTAAACCGCCATTCCACATTAATATACATTTATATTCTTGGTTCTTTCAGTAAAGTCACGTAGAAGGGAAACAATAAGATAATAAAAAATATAAAACAATACAATTCTCACGACGTTTCGACTGCAACACAAGCAATCATCATCAGATGTGAAAACCACAGCAAGAAAATTTGAAAAAAGTGGCGCTTATTTTTTAACGTTAGCACCACGGAGAGCGATTTGACAGTTATTCAGATGGACGAGTCCATCTGTGTTCGGAAAAGAGGAGGGGGGTGCTAACGTAAAAAAAACCCGCCACTTTTTTCAAATTTTCTTGCTGTGGTTGCAATCGAAACGTCGTGAGAATTTTATTGTTTTATATTTGTATTATTTTATTGTTTCCCTTCTACGTGACTTTACCGAAATAACCAAGAATATGAATCCCTGCAGTCACGAAAGCTTTAAATAAAAATTTAATATACATTTATTAACACCCTCCCCCCCGTATAGAAACGTACATACTAACGCTGTAAGTGTACGTGCCTTCGACCACAAATAATAATGAATGAGCGTTGCACTCTCAACAAACGTGAAACAATGCGGTGAATGCCCCTTCATCATGACCACGAGATGGGCGAGACAGCGACCTTGTCGAGATTACCCATTCATTATGTGCAGTAAAAAGACACCGAATGATAATATGTATTTATACTGGTGGAATCCGATGAGCTATAAATATATTTTTCACAGATGTCCAATAATTCACAGATGTAACAGCAGACAACACGACGTACATTCACCTTTCGCTGTCTTTTTTTACCGAAACTCGCAACAACAGCGGCACACCATCTGCTCGCCGCTTCTCAAAACACGCCATGTACATGTACAATCTATAATCACAGTCTATAATCAATCACGGTCTATAATCACATGAACGGCAGTCTTCAACCGAGCTTCACATTAACGTGGCAGGACCGCCGATGACCTCCAATTGTATTTATTCAGGAAGAATTGTCGAATACAGCTGTTGTTATGCATAACCGCACCTGCAAATGAGAGATCTTGTGGAGTTACCTTTGAGTCCCGAGTCTGCAGTGTCCCGTGATTCTGCCGTGACTGTGTGCTGTTGCTGCTGGAGTGATGTATACACCCTGCATAACACTGTGGCATCTTCTGGGGGATATGTACTTGGCAGTGCATTTGACCCAGGGATGTCGAGTCGCGTGCGGCGGGATTCGCGATCCACATCTATGTCAATAGAGGTCGCTAGTTTAACACGTAGGCTTTGTCGCGGCCAATAGAGTTTTTTTTGGGTTAGATCGCGTAAATATATCGTTAAACCCCCCCCCCCAAAAAACCCTCTATTATAGAGGTCGCTACTTGCGCTGCAGTGAAAGCAGGATAATGTCTCGACTGAACAGACACGCGTGGGAGGCGGGTGACACCTGGAGGTTACGCTGGAGGTGCACCACATTTAAAGCGCTAAGCTGTTGTCAAGCCGCCACCAATCACCGAAAAGACGAAAGTTCGATTTTATGTATATTTTTTTAAAATTATTCCCCTTTATGCTGATGGTGGAATTACAGGTATTAAATTTGTTTCTTACAAATTAACCACTTTTAATGTTTTCTTAAGTTTACAATTGTTATACCCAAGTTATGTCCCCTGATTTGCGATATTAACATTGGTGTTTTGTTGCAAATGCTCTCGTTTTTCAAATCATGAACGTAACCTTATGGCTCAGGCTGCACTTCAATTTGTCTCAACAAATGTCTCCGAATTAATGATTAAGCAATGCATGAATGTGACAGAACGTGTGCCGCTTCTCGGTTTCCGTGTTATTTACACGATTTGAAATAAAGCAAAGACGACTTTACTTTGTCAAAACCTTGATCGCATGGGGGTATGGGGTCCTCTAGTGGACCCATATGACGACAGGGACGGTATAAACACAAAACAACTAAACCAATTATAGTCCAAAGAATTGGCTTAAAACGTGGAAATGTATAGCAGCAAAGTACAGGGGTTGGCAATCTACGGCTCCGGAGCCGCATGCTCTTTTAAGGACTGCTTCGTGAAGTTATTTATTAAGGACCGTCTCATATTCACATTGTGGCTTTCGAAACGGTTTTTTTTATACCGAATTCGAAAAAAAGGCTGTTATTTTGGTTGTCGACGCCGAGTATAGTGCTCTATTCTACAAACTGCACTGCATTTGCACACCCCGCAGAAACCAACCTCTTTTAGAGTTAATCGGAGGATACAACCAATGCATAATACACGATGCGATTTTATGGGGGGATTTACCCATCTCATTTTCAGTTGTCATCCCCGAGAGGAATACGTCATTACCCCCCCCCCCCCCATTTTTTATTGCTTGGATAACTTCAGTTTAACACGTAGGCTTTCGCGACCAATATCGAAGATGACGTTAGTTTGGCTAATATTTTTTGTTGGTTATGTTTTAAGTTAATCCCATCCTTGCAAGACACGCTCGACCTTTCTGCAAAAATTTTTGTTTCAATTGTTCCCAAACATGGCAAGCCATATTTCATATTTTCAGTTTTTTATTATGGTTAGACCCAATTTCAAAAATCAATACCATATACACCAACTGAAATAGGCACAAGACAAACATACCGTTCTTAATTGTATTTTATTCGGAAATGTATGTACATAGTATGTACACAAATCCAGAAAATGCATAGGGATTAAACATGCAGATTCAAAGCCAAGAGTTATACACCTCAATGTATGAAAATTAAAATAATGCATTTCCACAGCAGTAACAATGTACACAACTCAGCATGATAAAGGCATGGCTATATTGTCACATTAGTCGATACATTTCTCGCAATACATCTCTCTCCATCACTACATGTTGAAAATAAAAAGTACATGCCAAATAAACCGATGTTTCACAACACACTTTTTATTCCAGAGGCTTTCAATAGCGGCCAAAGCACTGACATTTTTAATCTCTTATTTTCCGTCAATTCCAACCACGATAGGCCATGCTATTTTTCATGCAAGTTACAATGTTACAACTGTGGAAAAAAGCCCCATGTGCGCCCAGTGTATTGAACACAACGCAATTCTTGCATTGCAATGTTAACGTGACGAAAGTTTTTTTCTCCGAATGATATTTGTAGAGTTGATATTTCAGCTGGCCCCACATTAAGTGTAAGGACTATATAATCTATACACAGAAAATTATGTAATCCGTTCTACAAGAGTGCTATTGATAAAAGTATACAAAGATTTACAAAACACACTGAACATATCCATAACTGATTGTATTAATTACAAACTGTAATGATTCTGAAACTCATTACAAAAAAATGTTAAGTGTACTAAAAATTATAATCTGGATCCTCTTGATGAATACAACATAAAAACACAACCGAAATGCATTTTCATGAAAGTAGCATATGGTTAAAATCCGGTATCCTGCTCAGACCACAACACTCCATACATAGATTGTACACAAATCCACCAGCAATGTAGGCTCTAGATTAGGGTTCGGCAAACTGCGGCTCTGAAACCGCATGCAGCTCTTTAAGGACCGTCTAGTATTCAACACGCATTGTGGGTCTTGAAAGAGTTTTTTTTTACCTAAACGGAAAGAATGACTTGTTATTTTGGTTGCAGACTCCTGCTCTAGACTCTTAAAGTATATGGTAATTAAGGCATAAAGAACACTTCAGTCAATCTCGATGACAATGATACCTTGTCATGAGTTTGTTTTAAATGCACGTTTTCTTTCGCCTGAAATATGTACTTTTGCACCCACTGACTGCTGGAGAGAATGCGAGTTGTGTACTGCCTGTATTGCCAATGTTAAAGAACAGGAATTAAAAGCAATGTGCCTCCAACGTAACTGATTGCAATAAAAATACATGGAACTGCCTAAACAGCTCAGCTGCCACTAAATCCAGTTTATAATTTTAAGTGTCCGAAGAATGTTATTGTGAATAACACTTACCAGTTTAATCACCTAGCTGTTAGAAAATGGCAAAACATTATTGATCCCACTATATTAAGTAGTATTCTTGCCACATCAGTTAGCATGTTAAAACAAGAGTAACAATTTGTCTTCCATACATTCCACAACCAATACATTTGAATTTAATCCTCAATGCCCCAGAGGAATAAATCCCATTATTTAAAATTCCATTTGTATGTGTGCCTTGCTAAGTGGTTTTGCAGTGAGGCTAATGATATAAGGCCACAGACAAGCACATCGGTTGGATTTGACCTGCACACGATGAGTTAAAAATGATTACAATAATACAATTTCACTACTCTTTGGTTCTTTCGGTAAAGTCACGTAGGTATAAAAAAGAACCAAAGAGTGTGGATTCCTGCAGTCACGAAAGCTTCAAATCTACAATTTCACTGTTCAAATGTGTTCTCCATTTAACTTATACAGTAAAACCTTGGATTGCGAGCATAATTCGTTCCGGAAACGTGTTTGTAATCCAAAGCACTCGTATATCAAAGCGAATTTCCCCATAAGAAATAATGGAAACTCAAACGATTCATTCTACAACCCAAAAATATTCGTATAAAAATTATTAATACAAAATACCTTTTTATAGCTTTATTATTAAAATTTAATACAAAGTAATACAATTAATTAAATTTAATCGTGGCTGGTGTGAGGGAGACGTGAGGAGAGGGGGGTTATTGTGTAGGACTACTTTCACTGTCACTAACGGAATCACTGCTATCTGTTGGCTCAGTGGAATCTTTTTATTTTTGTGCAACTTTAACAAGGAACCTATCCAATGACACTTGCTTTTGCCTCCTTTTGAAGATTTCATGGGGGCCATTGTTGCAGTACAGTTACTAAAGAACAGTCACTACACTTTGACACAAAATAAAAAAAATGCTTTACGCACACACACGTGGACACAACACTATAGTAAACAGTATACGCTCGCACGGATGTTGACTATACGAGTGAGGCACGCCGACTGAGACCGAGCCATGGGAGACGATTACCCACAATCCCACAGCGAGAGAGAACCATCGGCTCAGTTGTGATCACGTGACGCTCGGCAGACAAAGCGTATACGTACTAATCGCATTGCAAACCTCGCTCGTTTATCAAGTAAAATTTTTTTGTTTATTTGCTCGTCTTGCAAAACACTCGCAGACCAAGGTACTCGCAATCCAAGGTTTTACTGTAAAGCCATGTAAGCTAAATGTCATACACATGCCAATATTTTTAGCACTTAAGAATACATTTACAAATAAACTCGGCTTTGGTTTAGTTTGCACCCTGTTAATTAAAAATCCACCAATACATTTTTACCAAAATTATGTATTGCTAATGGCACCAGTGTAAGCATGTCTGTGGCTGTTTCAGCCAATAGATTAAGAACACATATCTCATGTTTACTTTCAGAAGTGGCAGTATAAAAAAATGCCCCAACCCAATACAGTATAAAGCTGTTTGATGTTAAAAACTAATAAATCAGACCCTGTCTGATTAACCACAGGTTTTAACACATGTCAATACTGACACAGTGCACTGCAACAGTTGGATAGAATATTCACAAATCTCACATTCAACAGTAAAACTTCCACACCAGATAAGATACCAAGCCACCCTTTCTAGTATAAAACAATTTAAGCTCCTTGCATGTAAGTTGTAGGCATTTAAACTACCAAGAACTTGTCTTACATCTAGTGGTAGATTTTGTCAAACGCATTAATAAAAAAATGCAAACTTTGGACCTCCATTACCATTTGTGCTCTTTTACTTTTAAGAGATGCTGAATTGACCTTTATTGATGTAGATGGTCTCTAACCACATTTAGAAATTCCAGCACCGCCTGCGCATCGGTGGGATGCCGAGGTGTTGTCTTGGCGCACAGCAGATAGGAGGACCACACGCTAGTCAGCGTAGTGCATTATGGGCTCCACGTAGTTGCCGGGGAAGAGCCCTGTGTGGCCATTGGTGGCACCCTCGTACCAGCCGTCATCGTTTTTCCTGACCACATAGATGATGGAGCCCTCGTGAAAGCTCAGCTCATCATCCTTGTCCTGGACGTAGTCATACACTGCCACCACTAGGAAACACAAAAAGAGTGAGGATAATGGGTGTGACCAACACAGCATATGCTTGCTTTTTAACTAATTTGTAAATTTTGCATTGTTCAGTGTGTGCACATTTAATATTCACCCTTCTCAATGTAGATTTTGGGTGCCCATTCGGGATCCCCGTCTGCATAGGGGTCCGAGTATTGCACCACGGAGGCTTCTTCGTCGTAGTCGATGGGGGGTGGTGGAGGCAGTAGCGAGTCATCGCCCCCAGAGCCAAAGCCCACCAGATCATCCGGGGGCGGAGGCAATGCTTGTGTTGGGCTGTCTGCAACTTTATAACAAAGAGATTAAATTAGTGAGCTCTTCACATGCTGCCATAAATGCAGATTCAAGCAAATTACGTAACATTATAATCACTGGGTTAAGTGAATCAATTAGTAAGAAAGAAAAATAATTCACTGAAATAAATTGCACAAACATAAAGCAAAGCCCTAAATATAAAGCATAATTTTTAAGCTGCCCTCAAATATGACCACTTACTGTTCTCCTGCATGCGGGCCACAAAGCCCGTGAGGGGAATCTGTGGGGTGAGCTGGGGCATTGGCGGAGGGGGCGGCGCATGTGACACTGATAAGGACAAATACAAAGCAGTACATTTGCAATTAGCTGTAAAGCAGTAGAAAATAATCCATTGCCTGACAAAAATATTTGACAAAAGCGACAGAAGGCAGGCGCAATATTGCTTGATCAGTAAAACTAGACTTTATCAGATAAAATCTCAAAATCAGACACACACACATGCATGTGAATTATGAACACAAGCTTTGTATTTTTATTCTGAGCCTCAGCTTCAAATTCATTCCAAACCACGTTAAACTATGGTAATATGAGGCCAAAGTGCACACATTTTATATGAAGGTTAAGGATTCCGTCGTGGGTGTGCTCCCTCTGGCGGGAGGGCAGGGGAGGGGTGCTCTAAGTGCCACCTACTGGGGTTGTGGCTGTAGAAGGGGCCGCCATTGAGTTGCGAGGACTGGGAGGTAACAGATGGGGGACGGCGCGAGCCTCCTGAGCTGATGGACGTGGCCGAGTTATTCCGCGTCATCTGCCTTGGCATGGAGTTGTATTGGGAACCGGGCCCAGCTGCAAAATCCCGACAATACAGCTTCCAGCAGCCCATTCACATTCACTGTAGTCATTCACTTCAAGTTCCTCTTACACGTCACGCTAAGTTATGCTTACTTCCATGTAAGGATTAGTATTAAAACAGGACAGCAACTACAGCAAGTTGACGACCGTTCAATACCAATGTCCATGTTTGAAGCAACAAGTAGCCTCGACACAAGCAACAAGCACTTGTCATCACTATTTTCAGCCTGATGATGAATTCAGAAGCAAGCGTTCACAGGGCATAGCCAGACATCAATAATGTGCACACAGAATGTGCATGAATTACCATTTGACTGGTTGGCACTGCAGTTTAGTTTTTTAGGCAAACATGATCTTCTAAATGAGCCAACACATTGTCATGTTTTATTACCACTGGCTACGCCCATTGTTAGATTAGTAGCAAGACAGAACAAAATGGTGAGTACTACATTCATGACGCCTGATCTTACCAAACATGGGAGGGGGAGGAGGTGGGGCTGGCACACCAATGGATGCTGGCAGCCAAAATAAACTTGTGTTAAATCTCACAAGCTTAGAGCTACTGATACAGCTCAAAATATCAACACAAGCACTCACCTAAAGATCTAGCAACATTCACCTCGGTTTTCCAACATGCAGTTGTTTTGTACGATAATTGAAAATTTGCTCATAAATAAAAGCATATCACAACGTATTAATATCCAATGATTAACTTGCACTTGGAATAAGTAAACCTTGTCAGCCACTGTAACCATGATGTTCCTTATTTACCTGGGGAACCCTCACTGTGCCTTTCAACTTTTCCATAAACAACCTGCTTGGCATCTTGGGCCAATTTATCTAAGTATTTTAGCATGAAAGAACCTGGAGAAATGTAAATAAACATCACCCATAACTGGTTGGATAGTTCACACAAATACAGTCTCCAGTCCACAAGGCTTTCAATTGAGTTGGGGGTTTTGACATTAATGCCAAAGGAACAGCTGGATTAACGGAAAACACAAAAAAGAGGCACGATTTGCTCTCAAGATGTAAATGAAGCTTACCTGAAAGTGGTGGGGCTGGAGGGGGAAAAGAATTGTTGTAAACGTCAGCAGGCATGGGGGAAGGTGGTGGCGGGTAAGAGGAAGTAGGTGGACCTATGCAATCAAATGTGAACATGTGACAAACATGCAGAGATGTTAGTGGGCCACTGAAAACCATTGCTACTGTAAAATACAATTACACATGCCTCATGCGTAGAATATTGCTTAAAATTGAGTGGTTAGGCACATGCTCAAACCAGTATTATACTTGTACACAGGCATTCCATCTGACAATCTGAAGACTACTTTAATTACACAAGAGGACAGGTGGCTATACTGCCCATGCCACACATACAATTTTGCTGAAGATATAACGAATTAGAGTTAACCATATTCTTGGTTCTTTCGGTAAAGTCACGTAGAAGGGAAACAATAAAGTAATAAAAATATAAAACAGTAAAATTATCACGACGTTTCGACTGCAACACAAGCAATCATTATCAGGTGTGAAAACGATGTTTTAATATATAATAAGTATCGATTTAAAGCTTTCGTGACTGCAATGATTCATCTTCTTTGGTTCTTTCGGTAAAGTCACGTAGAATGAGAATAAAATAATAAATTGATAAAATAAAATAACACAATAATATTCTCACAATTTATCAATTTATTATTTTATTCTCATTCTACGTGACTTTACCGAAAGAACCAAAGAAGATATAATAAGTACTTTGGCTGAGAAACATTGGCGATAATTACGAAAGCAATAATTACTACATCACTCTGACAATACCACAATTTAATAACAGGAATCGTCAAGTGCGTTTTAGAGTCAAATTAGTATTTAAAGATTAAACAATAGTTTTATGGAGTGGAAGCACTATAGACATTACTACAGTATAAATAGCAGCGCATAATTATTTCAGCACATGCAGCCGTTTTTAGGGCATTCAGCTCCATGCAATGTCTTCAAAGTGCTGTCACGACTTCCAATCTGTTGCTTCTCAAGTGTGACTAAAAGAATGTAGAGTAATGGTGCATAAAGCAACACTATATATTTATTATACTGGGTGCACTTTGCTACAACAGCACGCACACACAGATGTTCGTGTTTTTACGTATTTTTTTATATTGGCCACTGCTCGGATGTTAAATAAAACGAAGAGGTAAAAATGTCCCTGGTAACACGAAATATGATATATGTGCAGCGAGGTTTTTTATTATCATGACACAGCAATGGACAATTATTTAGTTAAGTGGTCAGCTTTATAAAAATAATAGCTTAACATAAGCATCCCCATTGGTTAGCATAATTTTGAACCCTTGGGCATTTTCTGTAATGTGAATTGAGATGAATTCATCATTACCATCCATGATCTATTGGATGACAGCCTCCAAGACCCACATTTTCTCTCGTGGCAAAGCTCCTGTACAAACTTATTTAATAGGTCCATCTCCACGTCGACATTCTCTTAGGCCTGTTCGCACCTTTGGCTGCCACTCCATCATTAGTCTCGACCACCAGTCATCATCCCTTCTCATGACGTGTCCAACCAAGCACACTAATGTTTGTTATACGTCAATGATGTTTCTAACTTTGGTATGTTTTGTGATGTATGTTCTGCTATTTCCTGTTAATTACAAGCATGAACCTATTCATGCCATGGCCACGTTTCAGCTATTATTTTATTTTACTTGTCAACGTCCATGTTTCTGATCCATACAGTATAGCAGGAATATGCACTGATTAAACAGACAGATGCATTGCAAAGTCCACCAATGATGCCAGGATAGATTTGTGCAGACAGTGAGGAGGGCAGTCATGAAAAGACCTTGGCTGAAGACGCTTGGTATGGAGGGTGGGGGCACAGGGATGGGAATGCCCACGCTGCCGCTGCCACTATTCTCCCGGCTGCCTCCGCTCCGGCTGCCTCCACTGCTGCCACTGATGCCCACAGGAAGGAATAAACATCATTATATAAGGATATTAAACTTTGGTTAAATACAACAGCGCCATCTTCAGCTGCAACATTAAAACGATCATTAATGCATATAATACGGGAACATTTTTCAAATGATTTAAAACTTTAAAATATCAGAGTAGGGCTCCTTGCTGGATTAACGGGCACCTAAACAAAATCCATTTTTAATAATCATCCTGCACATGTTAGTACCACAACTGCAGAAAAATCAAAAGCAAATGAAGCATGGTTTAAAACAAGAGGTTAATAAAGCAGATATTAAGCAACCAAGCAATTACCCAGCACAAGAAAAACTTACCGCTCAGAAACCCTGGCCATTTTTTTCTCGCACAAAAAGATGCTCAATTTTCAACGGCACTAGCAGTCTTCCTGCCAACAGAAAGTCTGTCTCCTATCCCTCACTACCTGTATGTTCGAGCCCTTTGGTTGAGGGAAGCAGTACGTGCAGGGCTCTGTAGGTGCTGCTGAGAGGTTGGAGGCCCCCAACCCGGGCTGGCTGTGTAATCGTTAGGCAGAGCCGGCGGCCGAACCGGCTCCAGAGTCCGGTAGGGAGAGCTCCTTCTGCAGAACCAAGAGCAGAGAACTGACCCCTCACCCCTGCCAGTGCCTCCCGGTGGACCCACTCGACAGAGCCATTCCGCATCATCGGCTTCGAAGAGTGAAACTGCAAGCAAAGTGCAGCTGTATTTAACATGAAAATCTTTTCTATCCTTAATCAAGGAATGAGGGGATGAAAGGAGATAAGTAGACACTAAACGCCAGCAAAATAGTTTCTTAAACAATGGATAAATAAAAATGCACTTCAATCACAGATTTGACTTTTAAGCAAAGGGGAAGTGAGTTAAAGCGGGCAATCAATGAAGACGACATAACCCGACATACCCCTTGCGTCCCAGAGTGCTGCATTGCAGCAGGCGAGTCAAGGCACCCGTGTCATGCCAAGCAGGTGATAGAGAAAGAAGCAGCAGTTAGTTTCATGCACAAATGCACCAGCAAGTAAAAATAAACCAAAGTTCCTTTCAAGCTCATGCAATATTTCAAGATTATTTGGAAAATGTGTTTAAGTTTTAGTGGTGTGCCTGTCCAGCCTCATAAAGCAACATAATTGATATATACTGTATTTGTTTTACAATGGAAATAAGTTGTAAAATGCAATATCTCCGAGAAAAATATTTCCGTTTTTAACAGCAGACACAATTAATCAACAAAAACTAATAACTTCTACAAACAAGGCATACATTATAATCATTCGTCAGCAGTTGAACTCGCCAATAAATGTTTACCTGCATGACTCATGGTGTACAACATTGATAGAATTTTGTTTCACAAAAAATATATACAGTATGTTTAATGTCAATAAAAGTATGAAATTAATCATCCGTCATCGTAAGCAGATGACTTAACAATCAATCATCGACAATAGTTAATCCAATGCTGAAATACAACAATTAATCTCGCACTTGAACATAAGAAAATTGTATCTCTCTATCTCTGGGGTGGATGTTTCTCGGGCGTGTCCTCTTTTGGCTACCACTGCCATTTTCGACGACTGGCTATAATCTTTTCTAGCTATGTGGACTGCGCAAGATCACTTACCTTTCATAGATGTCAATGTGATGTCTCTAATTTGCATTTGTTCTCTAATCTACACGTTCCCTCATTTTGTCAGTCTAATTCCGAACTTGCACCTCCCCATGCTACTTTGCACACATTTCAGCTTTTTGTAAAAAAAAAACCCTTCTCATCAAATAACATTTTCCAAAAGCATTCCATTGTGTTCCTTGCTCACCTCTTTATCTCTTCATTATTGTCCCCATCCTCTGTCACCATTTGTCATAGATATTCATACATGGTGTATTTTACAGTTGTATCTCGAACTTCTTGAAAATAACTTTTATGTTTTGCTCATATTTATCTTTTGCCCTAATTTTGCAACCTTCTATATTCTATTCATAAATCATTTCCTACAATTAATTTCAAATGGATGTTATAATAGCTATTTTGTCAGATTATACGCGTTGGAAAGGTCACTCGGGATTTACGTTTCAATCCTTGATCTCTGAGCCACTGTAAAGTTGAATGCAGCAATCAAAAGCAATCAGTGCTCTGTGTGATGTCTGATTGCAAAGTAGGTGGAGGCATTGCAACAGTTTTTCTACTTTAGCAAATTCTTATGAGATTCTGTAAAGCGGCTCATGCTTTAATAGTGGCAAAATTATCATGTTTTGTGTCCCTATCCTTTTTGAGGCTATCCGCATTATATATCAATTTTAAACATGGGGGTGTTCACCTCATCTTCATGTAAAAGCTGTGACCATGTCATTCATAACACCGTGCTTTTTAAATTGCATTGTCTTGCTTTGGCAATGTCTATGGAATTCCAAGCAAGTGCCTCTCTGTGCTTCTTTGCACAGACGTTAGCTTTTGTTCTATTTTCTTGTCCATCTCAAAGTAGGTAATATGCAGTGATTTAAAATGTTTCCCTTTAGAAATACTGGTACGTGACTTACAATATTAAGTTAAGTTTTTAAAAAGTACTCTTCTCTTGTTCACCTCTTTATTTTATAATTTTGATCCCAGTGAGCCTTAAATAACTGCCTTTGGTAAATATACTCTTACACATTTTTCATTTGTATACCCAATTGTTGAGATGCATGATTATCCATCCCAAATGGTAAACTTTGGAGCATTTCAAGGGCATTTAGTTACTTACCGTACTGTACATTAAAAACCACTCCTCACTTCACAAGCTTTGATTTTGAATAGGCTAAAATTCCGAACATCTGAAGGCAGACCGCCCACACACACAAAAAGCAATATAGACCGTCCAATTCATAACGACGATAATGGGGGCTCAGATTTGCTCTGCACACAAGAACATGATGAGTAGCACTGGAGATTGACAGGAGGATAATGCGAAGTTTCATCCACTGCTTGTACAAATATGATTTCCTAGAATATGAAAGTGATAAACACATATTGGTATTATTCACATAACTATTAGTTTTTCCCTTTTTTCTAAAAATCCCATTGCAATGTATGGCAATAGTTTAAAACACAACATGCAATAGTTTTCAACAGCCCTGGTGCAATACATGAAATATTAGATTAACGGCATGACAATAGAGCATGTATTGTATTTCACATCCCTGCCCATGTAAAAATTATCAAATTACAACTAAATAAAGAAATAAAGGTGTGACCTCGTACCCAATGGTTCCTCTGCTGACTGAAGGAGGGCTGGGAGGTTTTTGAGTGGGCGGTGTGCTCCGGGAAATACTGCTGGTCCTTCCGTTGGGGTTGTTTCCCTGCTGCAACAAAGGCACACCCAAAACTGAACACAGTCTATATGCGCAGCAAGCTCACACCACAGTGCTTGCGATTATCATCACAAAAACAACTGCATGGCCCGCAAATTAAACGGACCTTACACAACACAGCACAATACACTTCCACAGCACAAACAGAATACGGTATTTTATTTCTTACCTTAGCCTTCAGAAGCCACTTTGCGCAAAGCAGAAAATAAAAATAGAAGCAAAATATAACTGATCTATAAATCTGCATGCAGTTAAGGCAACACATTTTATGGAGTGAGGTTTGATTTACACGATGGCTTGTCTTTTTTAGAGTTGATTCAATATACATTTTAAATGATCACTTTTAGGTAACACCATGGAGACATACACAACAGCTGAATGAGTAAATGTGCAATAAAATGTGTTATTTATATTGTTTTCCTTTGAAATAAATATTTTACTGCCATTCAAACATCGTCCACAAACAACGTGGTAATGCATGTTTTCCAATGGCTTTCTAAACGCGTTGTAACAGAGACGCTCAATATGTTGTCATTTAATGTCTGCTCATACACCCACCTTAGCCCACACTTGTGTTAACTTAAGAGTAGACTCGAGTTTGAGAACCATTGACCTTAATTTTTATACTTGTAAAACCAGACAGGTTATGTTTGACAGACCATCTTGTGAGTACATATTTTTTCATCAAAGACACATATATTACATCACTGAAAAGTATGTATTATTCAGACTCAGCAGTGAGGATTTGGTAAGGTACTCATATTCATGTTACACACATTGGCTATTATTATATACCAATTTATTCCATAGAAGACAAATGCCAGCTGTCATGGTTTACACAAATGAAAATCGTAATGAAAATGGCAGGAAAGACAATGCCTGTAGCAAAATATACAGTAAGTCCCTGGGTTGCGGAAGACCCGACTTACGGAAATCCGACCTTATGGAAATGTTTCCATAAATCATGTAAAAAATATATGCGGAAAAATTTGCGTTAGTTACCAAGCGTCAATAGTGCAGCACGGTGAGGTTGCGGATGAATACCACGGAGCGAGGCATAAGCCCCACCCTTACACCTCGCTCCACCAAAACACTGCCTTCACCGAGCCTGAGCTTCAAGAGAATTCAGGTAAATGGAATTTTCTTGTAGCATTATTTAATTGTTTTATATGCTTAGAACTCTTTTTCCCATGTTTATATTGCTAGTTTTCTTCATTTTAAGTTTATTTCATGAATTATTTATTCTATGTACTTTATTTACCAAAATTACACTTCGACTGCGATCGGAGAAGTCTAGGCCTAGCCTAATGCACGGTAAACGAACATTCGGAAGTGACTGCTTTCTGTAAACAATTAATATAAGCATGTTTTGTGGTATTCATAAGCAATTGGATACAGTATGTTCCATTAGTTTAATTATGGGTAGTATTAGGGTAGATATTTGATGAAATTAAAGAATCATAGGAAGTACAGGGCGTACCTACAGCGATAAGATACAGGCAGCGATAGAAAACGGACGACAGCGCAATACAGCGCTGAGAGAAAACAAACTAGTAATCGGGTAGAGGAGGCACAACTATTTTGCATATGGGATTTTATCTTGATTTGGGGGGGAAGTTGTTCAGTTTCTGAAATATGTAAAATTTGTATTATGGATTGTTCTTGGGAACCTAACCCTTCTGTAACCCGTGGACTGCCTGTACTCATTTTATAATGTTTAAAACCATCTTCTTGCCCTCTTAAATATACAACCACTAATGTTCTACTTTAACAGCTAAAATAAACGTGCAGGATTCAAATGCAAACTGCAACTTGTATGCTCACGCACAGTTTATCAGCCATTTTTACATTGGAGCCAAGGGCCATCGAGCAGCACTAACACAATTTTCACTACCCAGTTAAACAATCACACGCAGAATAGAAAACTAAACGAATAAATATATTACAATTTATCAAATACACATTATATGCTTTTACCAAAATGTCTGCACATTAAATTATTCGACCGAAAAAGGTCAGGCAACACAATCACCACATTATTTCCTATTTAAATTTCTAACACTATGTATAAATGAGTTGCAAAAAAATCCAGTAATGCCCCCCATGACACTGAACTGGTTACTTCATGAATTCAAAATTCGTCATGCAGCTTGAGTGCACCACAAAACATGCACCTGCCAAAGCCAGTGCTGCACACAAGCTAGGCCGAGGGCTCTTTCCACCTATTACCTTCATGCCGTGGCCGATGTCATCCAACACGTTGAAGTCCAGTGGCTTGCGCACGTAGCGCACAGGTCGCTCGGGGTTGACGGGTGCCAGGATCTTGTGTGTGCGTGTCGTGTTCTTGTTGGTGGTCAGAATGCCGATCTCACGCCGGGCCACCTTTTCTTTGTGGATGCCCACCGTCTGCAAGACAAAAGGTGTAATTCATATATGGTAGTTTACATCCACGGGAATAAACAGCAATATAGACACCGATTACGGTTATATTTTTAACCAATGCGCATTACCCATTATGACATATGGATCAGAAACATTGACATGAACGAGAAATAAATAGATTAAAGGTGTGCAACGAAGCATTGACAGATGCATGCCTGGAATTACATTTTGAGACAGAAATTGGAACACGAATTAGAGAATATGTTGAGGCTAAGACGTTAATTTTAACTGTTAAGAAAAGTCAGTGGGTTTCGGCAGCACACCGTTAGAGATGATGGCCGATAGTCAAGAATGACAAGAGTGGTAGCTAAGGGAGGGAACTCGCTCAAGAGGAAATGCACCGAGGAAACGGTGATGAAATGAGTTCGCATGCAGTTGTTTATTACATCCCATGATTGTGAGACGGCAACACCTTGGTGAAGCCTTCATCCAGCAGTGGGTTATGGTTAGTGATAATGGTGTGATCACAATTTCTTGGAATTAAATGTTGAGACTGAAACACGTTGAGTCAAACATAATTAAATAGAATAATCTAAACATAAAAGTACTTAAAAAAATACAACGGTATATTATGACAGTAATATCCCATCAATCTTGATTTGAAGCTTTCGTGACTGCAGGAATCCATACTCTTTGGTTCTTTCGGTAAAGTCACGTAGGTAGAAAAATAAAATAAATCACGACGTTTCGATCGCAACACAAGCAATCGTCATCAGGTGGGACAACCACAGCAAGAACAAACTGCTGAAGTAGGCGAGAGATCTGCCTTGGCACGAGGTTATATAGTAGGCCTCGGCAGTAGGGGGGGGGGGCAGAAAGTGGACCCGGCAGCAGCACCCTGGTCACTGGAGTAAAGTGGACCACCGCAGCAGCATTGGAAAGATCGGCTGCAGGGGGGGAGAGAAGGGGGGGGGGTGGAAGAATTTACCGCAAAGCGGTTTGTGTGCAGGGTAGGTGGAGGCAAAGGCGACGGATACGAACAAGGATGGATGATGCTGTCAGCGACGTAAGAGTGGGTTGAGGCGACGCAAATCAGGTAGTGGTATTAATAACGTGACAATGTATTTGCGAAAGGGGGAGACGTAAACCGTGGTATTACTGTACAATAGATGCTAAAACATTTAAGATCATTCCCGATAAATGTCTATTTAATTCTGTGAATACTGTTGTTTTAGAATGTGTCTGCTATATAAACATTCTGTGCATACTGTTGTTTTAGAATGTGTCTGCTATATAAATATTTCATTCGTAAACTGTTGGAAGTAATTTCTTCTATTACATCTTTACTGAGCTTATTAAGACTTTGTATAAATTTCCTATTTGGTAAACTTAATTCCATACTGAACGGTTCCTTAATATTCTTGGTTCTTTCGGTAAAGTCACATAGAAGGGAAACAATCAAATAATAAAAATATAAAACATTAAAATTCTCACGACGTTTCGACTGCAACACAAGCAATCATCATCAGGTGTGAAAACCACAGCAAGAAAATTTGAAAAAAGTGGCGGTTATTTTTAACGTTAGCACCACGGAGAGAGATTTGACACTTTGTTCAGATGGACGAGTTCATCTATGTTCAGAAAAGAGGAGGGGGGAGACGAAAATAATGGATGCGGTCTGAAAGCCACCATAAGCGTGAACAATCAATTAAGACCCGAAATGGTTATTAAATCCTTCCAATGATTTCTAAGCCAGAATCCATCTTCTCGGTTGAAATTGTCTGTGTTTGTATATGTGGATAGCCTCATGAACGAATCTCTCATGGTAGCCAGATGGCTTGCAAAGAACCTCCGTCTTGGAGAAGTCAATGTAATGTGAACCTACTGAATTATAACAGTGATCTGCCACGGCTGAGGTGTTGGTCCTACCGTGTTTCAGGTCTGCTTTGTGTTCACGAATGCGGTCTGAGACATGTCGTTTGGTTTTCTCCAATGTAACTACTACCACAGAGGCAACTTAGTTTGTAGAAGCCAGAGTACTGTATGTCCGGAATCACATCTTTTACAGACGGAACCAGATCACGGATTTTATGTAATGTGTTGAATCGGACCTGGATCTTGTGTTTATTCAGGATTTTGGAGATCTTTTTTGTGATCCCCGCAAAAAAATAAGCGCCACTTTTTTCCAATTTTCTTGTTGTGGTTTTCACACCTGACGATGATTGCTTGTGTTGCAGTCGAAACGTCGTGAGAATTTTATTGTTATATATTTTTATTATTAAAATGTTTCCCTTCTACGTGACTTTACCGAAAGAACCAAGAATATGAATCCCTGCAGTCACGAAAGCTTTAAATAAAAGGTTCCTTAATAATAATAAACTGTTTATCAACATGTTATGAACCAAAATATCACATCCATTATATGGGCATGAAACAAACTCTACGCAATAAGTTGTTTCTGCATAGCCCATTGGTTACACTGCACGTACAACTGTATGGCCATTGCCGAATAGCAAAAAGCAATATTTACTGTATAAAGCATCATAATGAAAAAGTTCCAAACAACTTTGCAGAAGCAGTTTTTAGTACGTACGGATAAATAACATTTAACGTGGAACATATAAAAGAAAATACAGTATCGGCTTATGTAAATAGTCAAGCAAACAATGTCTTCTGTGAAAGAACCATTTTTACAGTTCCTTGGCCAATAGTACATGTTGCTATGGGAGACTGACATCGGTAGAGATGGCCAAGCTGATTTGCATTTGTACAGCATGAGGCATCCTTGTACCAGACGACATGGCTGGGGAAATGCAGAACCAGGTCCAAAATGTACATGTACTGGACAAAATGTAGTATAAAACCAGCAGATGAAATGTAAACTATAAAATAATATAAACTATAATTTTTTTTTATTTTACCAGGTAAGGTCCACTGAGCTATGTATCTCTTTTTAAGAAGTGACCTGGCCACAAATGATAGCTCAACGAAATGGCTCATCACGTGGAAATGTATAGCAGCTAAATACTCGAAATGCATGTCTAAATGTGGAGGGAAAACCCAGAGGATCCGGAGATAAGTCCACACGGCCACGGGGAGGACATGCAAACTCCAAATATACAGGCGTCAGAGTTGGGATTGAACCCACGATTTTCTGCATACCAGGAGAGGTGGAGTTAACTTCTCGCCACCGTGGCACCCAAATCTACATGTGCAGCCACCGTTCTGGGTGAACTTTCAGCAGGTTTCCATAAAAATGTATCAAAACTGGTATATTTTTAAAATATCAATTGTTTTACAATGTGAACACTTTTACAGCGTGTACCATTAAACCAGAGTATTTCCAAGGTTATGGAGTCTGCTGAATATTTTCTTTGTCAGTACAGTATTCTGGTACACGCGGTGACATTCTTCTGCTTCCCATATGCAAAGTAACTAAAAACAGCATCTCTTTCCATTTCTTAACCTACATATTTCCCCACTGCATTGGAGGAAGTAATGTCAATGCAAATATCAACAGAACACACGCGTTTGCAGCAATAACTATGCATTATGAGGTGATTATTTATTCATATTAATGCAGTCTCCCCCAAGTGCATCCTTTGTGGCAAGAGTTGCATTTTACAAGTATATTTTAATGCACCCCAATGTCCATTGACTATCTCATGTGTCAAATAGAATAGTAATGAGACAATGCAGGACATGATGCATACTGTTATAATACATGATATATGTACATTTCCTGCATCACTCGAGGTCCTTCCTGAGCTTGTAGTATCTAACTGAAGATATTCGTGAGAAAGCGTGATTACAATGTCAATTAAAACAATTTATAGACAATCACTCATTGTGTTTTTCTATGATTGTAAGCCGTTTTCTGATTGATTGATTAATTAACAGATAGGTTTCCATACTCAGGAGTCACTGCCTTCATGAAACTTGTTCTCACTGGGAAAAAAATACTCAACAGTGTGCGATTTAAATACAATGAAAAACAATTTAACTATCATATTACTGCAGCAACAATGCTATTGAAAAAAAAGTGTTTAAAGGTAAATATAAATTGGAAACACGATAGCACACGACAACAATTGTTGCAAAACCGTAATGTTTAGCACGTAGGCTTTCGCGACCAATATTATTCATAATAATGTTTTTTGGGTTAGAGCGCGTGAGCACGTGCTTTAACTCTCCACCACCCGACACAGCCAGTAAGGTTTGTCACGTAAACAACGCGCCAATTAGTTACTACTTCAGCCCACCGGTGTGTTGGAGAGTAAATCCAAAACCTTTACAATTTGAATACGATGTTTCACTGGTAATTACACCCAGCATCATCGGGCGATTTGCCAGAATAGTGAAGCAATCCACCTGCTTCCGGTCTTAAATGGAGCAAGATGACGTCATCACGTTACAGGTCTTCTTGGGACGTGATAAAAATAACGAAAACCTCACAAGGTGCGTAGAAGTAAATTCCAATATATGGGATAATCCAACCAAAATTGCACCGACTCATTTTATGTTCCTATAAATTATCCTCAAATACACAATGCATTGTCATTCCCCCATTTGTACACAACTTCGACACCAAATTCTATTACAACAAAACCACCCCTCTTTTTTGAACGATTTATAGCAATACATATTTAAAAAGAGCTGTAATGGAAAATGTATACACTTCTTAAATAAAGTGGTATGTTTTTCATCACCAGGATGAAAGGTGATGTTTTTCTTTTAAATTGGTGCTTGGTCAAGCACAAAAGCACGGATAGTGCAAGTCATTAGAAAATGCACAGATCTGTATTTTTCACGATGGTATATATGAGTTCTCATTTTATGAATGTTTCGTTTCGAGTTTTGTCACGAGAGATCGGTCGCAATGTCACACCAGCATGTCATAATAATATCACAATAATATCACGTGCATTAATAACCCCCCCCCCCCCATAAATTGTCACCAAAACGACTCAATGCAGGTAATGCGAGCCTTAGTGTATGTAAAAACTTTATCCGTAAATTGATGCATCCTTACAAAACTATTCAATAAAAAAGACGTTTGTTTAAATCAAAAGAACCCCACCCAGTGAGAGTCATGCAGAGTTATTTACTGCTCATAGTTGTCATACTTTTACATTTTATAATTTAATTCTCATCGGGTCCCATGATATCTTACAGTACTGTCTCCATTTCTTGTCTACTCTACCTCTCTGGCCTCGCAACGTGTTGCTTATTACATAACTTGGGGCCCTACGATGGCAAGATGTTAACTACTTCAACAGGTCGTGGGTTCCATCACGACCCATATAATTAGAGTTTGCATGTTCTCCCCGTGGCCAAGTGGATTGGCCACATTACAGTATTTGGCTGGTATAAATTTTCACATAAGCCACTTCGTTTAGCTATCATTTGTGGTCAAATCACTTCTAAAAAAGAGCTATATAGTTCAGTGGGCCTTACCAGATAAAATTTAAATGTTTTCTTTTTTAAGGCGGTGTTATTGACAAATGTGTATTTGTTATTACTTCGCAGGATCACGGGAGATAGCAATGGCTTGGGGGAGCCCTTCAAACAGCAGTGGATTGGCTCTTGCTGATGAACGAACACAACACATAGTTGTCTGCATATATTCGGCGTCTAATACATTTGGATAACACCTCCTAGGTTGTAGCATTTTGTACACTCCAACCTGAGGGTACACCAACTTCACAAAACAACTAAACATGCCCTTCTAGAAAAGGCAACATCAGTGTCTGTATCCTGGCCCCTAATTCATAAATCCCAGGGCTCGAAATGGAAAACAAGCTTCCTTCCAGTGGCAACCATTGTATTGTTTCACATCCTGTGTTTTTTTAACCTAAGAAATTTGCAAAGGCTCTTTCTACATTATTGAGATTTGTATATAAGTGTTTTTTTATTTACAAGGTTGGATGCATTGCATTCACACTAGTAGTTTCTCAACAAGTGACTTTTCAAACTGGTTTATGAGTAAACATCCCCTCTCGGCTCTATAAATAAGGACTTGTTTCAGCAGCCTGTTTCTCTCTCCCACCTGAAGACGATTGCTTGTGTGGTGATCGAAACGTCGTGATCAATTTTTGTTTCTACCTACGTGACTTTACCGAAAGAACCAAAGAGTATAGAGTAAACAAAACCTAGGATTTTCCACTGCGAAACAACTTTGACAGAGTACTTTGTAATGCATAGCCATTACAAAGTACTCCCACTAACAAATTTATTTGGAAATAGAAGCAAGTTTAAACGAGATGGCTGTATTCTATTCGATAGAAAACGTAATGGTACACGTGGATTCTCTGGCCAAAAGAATTGTTCATAAATGTTGCCCAATTGTACTGAAGAGCAATTTAATGATCAGACCTTCCTTTTAAATAGTTTCATTCCAACCGCTTGTGCTTTAGCTAATATACATATCATGAATGATACATTCCCTTTACTTTTATATAATACACGTTTCACTTATTGGATATTACTTTTATAAATTACAACAGTAATTCTCGTCAATGTAAAACCCCTTAATCACATTACTCTATAGCCTATGAAAAGCCATCGGAAAATGTAATTCCATAGCAGCAGCTGCTGCACAGAATGAACCCTACGAAGTAGATGATTTCAGCACAATCTCAACTGTGGCAGCAAAATAAGGGGAACCAGACACACACGCATGCATACGCACACAAAAGTTATACTTATTGCAAATCAGCAACTAACAAACACTAACGAACAAAACAATGCATACCAGGTGTACGTATTCACGTACAGTAAAGTATGAACTGCGCTAGTTACTTTGACCATACTTTACTGTATTGACAAGTATGGGTTTGTGAATCTGAGGCACATAGATGTATAGCACAACAATGGATTTTCCTGCACAGCATTCCACTTATCACCACATAGCCGAGCCAGTCTTTAACAACCTGCTACGCAAGGTGGTCAACCATCCAATCACCATCCAGACGCAACCATGTTGGCTTTCAGAGATCTCACGAGATTGACAGCATTCTGGGTGATTTTGTGATTTAGTCACTGGCATATATTTTGGAAAAAATAAAAAAACTTAGAAGCACAAACTCAGACAAGTCTAAAGATACATGTTACAGGGACCCCGTGGCTAAGTAGCCGTACCTGTGAGATGTGGTTGATTGCCGACTCCATCTTGCCGAGCTGTGAGGCCTGGATGTCCAGCATCTGTAGCACATTGTTGGCGAGCGTGTTGATCTGGTAGGCGACGCTGGCCAGGGACTGAGTAGTGTACGCCTTGGTCTCCTCAAGCGCTTGCCGCTTATCTGGGGCCTGACAAAGCGGAAGGACATGGAAGTGATTACGTGACTAAGGCGATACGCACATTCCCATAACTTCAGGTTGAGCACGACAAATTGTGCCTAGAAACATGGGCCACGCGAGATGTATCCTCTGAAAATCTTCAATGATTTACTCGCTCGGCGATCACCTACGCATTTTTCTTCATGCACTACACAAAACACTAACCTCCAAATCGCTCAATGTGTTATGACGCACGCAGAACCTGCATAAATATGAAGTTGGAGTTATCACGCAACGCGACTAGTATTCACAAAAGGGACTGCAATTCATCGTGATTGGGAGAAGGAAAAAAGGGAGGTTAAATCAGGGTATAGAGCTGTCCCGAGTGTGAAAATCAAGCCATCCCAGTTTCGACCCTGCGACCTTTAGCTGCGCGGCCTCCCCGTGTCAACAACAACAAGAAGATGAAGATGATGATGGGGAGGGGGCAGCTAAGAAGCCAACTCTCATCCTTTGAGAATTGAGATTCTCGTGACGTCCTTTCCTCACGACCACCTCCTCCCCACTCACTCGGGCTTACGCACCCGTGGGCTTTGGCAGAAACATAAACATCCTAGTCACGAAAACGCCGCGCGCTTTCCCGGCCAGCCCAGCACACGAAAATTAAGAGCCCGCTTGGCTGGACACACAACGGCGCGGTAATCATCATAATCAACTTAATCAACACCACCATCATCACCGTTCACCGTCAGCAACAGCTTTGTTACGAACCTCATCGACCATAAACATGTTATTCGTCAACGTCATCTTTTATCAAAGCCCTTCCAAGGGCACTGCCAAATTTATCATCACCAACTCCATTAAATCACTCCAGTATCAATTTTGGCATCAGTTTTATAAACGGTCACATTCTTCACGTTCAACATCATTATTATGAACTCAATTATGTTGTATCAACACCACCACCTAACACATCAGCATCATCACTCTTCACATTGACATCCTCGACGTATTGCCGACCTCATCCTCCGATACATCTTCCTTCACTTTTTCACTTCCACCACCTGACCCGTCATCTACCGCCGCTCTTATCAACTCTCGCGTCTCCCTCCGCCTCTCGACCACCTCCTCCATCATCTACATTCACCACTCCCTACATCTCCACCTCCTCCTCTACCACCACCATCACCACTTAATACAACTTCCACCTCTTCCTTTAACCCCGCCTCTCGCTTCATCCTTCACTTCCCGTCGTGAACTCGCCTATCCCGACACCTCAATCTCTTTCACCTCCTCGTCCACCACCACCACCGACCACCACCACCTTCACCTCTTCCTTCCTGACCCAGCCCAGAACCCCCAGGACTCCAGATTGGCGGAGGCCTCCCACCCTTCCTACCTCTCTCATCACTCTTCCCACTGCCCCCCTTCTCGTCGTCGCTGTGGGCGCCATCTCACCGTCACGTAGTTGCCCTCGCAGTAGTCGGCGACTCGCTGCAGGTTGCCGTGGCTCTCGAGGAGCGCGGCCCGCGCCGCGGGGACCTCCTCCTCCAGCAGCTGCTGCAGCTCCGCCATCTTCGCCTGCCGCGCGTGTCCCCTCCTCCTCCTCCCTCCTCCACTGGCAGCCACTGCGCATGCGCAGCCTCGCCCTGACCCCCCCTCCACTCACCCACTCCCTCCCTCCCTCCTGGGCTTCACCCTCCTCCACTCCCTCCCAGCCCCCCCCCCTCCCTCTCAGCCCCCCCCACTCCCTCTCAGCCCCCCCACTCCCTCCCAGCCCCCCCACTCTCTCCCAGCCCCCCCCCACCCCCACTTCCTCCCGAGCCCCCCCCCACTCCCTCCAGAACCCCCACTCCCTCTCAGCCCCCCCCCCACTCCCTCTCAGCCCCCCCATTCCCTCACAGCCCCCCCCCCACTCCCTCCCAGCCCCCCCCCCCACTCCCTCTCAGCCCCCCCCCACTCCCTTCCGGGCCCCCCGCCCACCACCGCGACTTTTGGGACAGCGGTTCCGGGCACGTGACGCAGCCCCCCAACATACCCCCCCCCCCCATCATACCCCCCCCAACATACCCCCCCAACATACCCCCCCAACATACCCCCCCAACATACCCCCCCAACATACCCCCCCAACATACCCCCCCCCAACATACCCCCCCCAACATACCCCCCCCAACATACCCCCCAACATACCCCCCCAACATACTCCCCTACAACATACCCCCCCCAACATACCCCCCCAACATACCCCCCCCCCCCCAACATACCCCCCCACATACCCCCCCCAACATACCCCCCCAACATACCCCCCCCCAACATACCCCCTCACATACCCCCCCCAACATACCCCCCCCCAACATACCCCCCAACATACCCCCCCAACATACCCCCCCCAACATACCCCCCCAACATACCAACATACCCCCCCAACATACCCCCCCAACATACCCCCCCCCAACATACCCCCCCCAACATACCCCCCCCAACATACCCCCCCCAACATACCCCCCCCAACATACCCCCCCCCACATACCCCCCCCCCCCCCGAGCCGTCGTCGTCGTCATTGGCGGCTTGTGACTAACGGGCGGCCATGTTGCTAAAGGGGTTGTCAGCGCCAGCGGAAAAGGCCGTAACAGTACAGTCGTAGTCAAAATTGTACAAAAAAAATGTTGTGGCTTCTGTAACTAATCGGCACATTTTGTTTAACGTGCAAAAAATGTTGGGTGCTGGCGTGTTTAACGACGCATTTATATTCAACGTAACTCCCCCCCCACCCCTTTATTATTGCGAAGGTATATTTAGAGGTGTGCCGCGGTGCCATGAAGCCTCAAAGTTACCCCCCACCGCTCCCTCTCGGGCCCCAGGCCGACGCACGGAGGAGTTCCCCACTCAACATGGCCGTGGCGGAGCCCGACAGCTGTACGGCGGCTGAGTTACGATGTTGCGAGTTCACGCGTAGCAGGAGCAACCTCGCCCGGGTTTGCTTCCTCGCAGCGGCTCTTACCACCCCCTCCCAAATACCCCCGACGATAGCCCCCCACGATAGCTCCATCCCACCCCACACACACACGCGGCGGAGGAGGTGACTGGAGGCAATAAATAAACACGCAGGCGGTAGAGGTCGGGGTCGATTATCACGATTCACGCCGCGCGCTTCCGCGATTTGTTTTTATTTTGCTCCAAGCGGGGCTCGGCGTTCCCCGTGAACTTGCCGCGCACTGTAACGCTTACCGTACGTCGACTCGATTCGTTCATCGTTCGTGGTGGTGGTGGGGGGGTAGACGCGCACGCGTTATTGTGAGCGTCAACATCGAGTGAGCCGGCGAGTGGACAGCGCAGCAGCTCCTGCCCCAGGCCCCGGTCCACGATCTTCCCTGGAGCCCGCGTCTCGCCGTCACTCCGCGGTCTGCCTCGACCCAAGCCGCCCCCCTCGTCTCACCGGTGACCGTCGGCCACCCCGCGGTCTCCCGAGTGTCGCCGTGTCGTTGTCTCTTGAGCGGAACGCTGCGGCTTTCTCATCACGTGGAGCCATGGAGGTGGCGGAGGCCGAGCACCGGAGGCGCTTCGAGGCGGCCGTGCGCGCCGTGAAGAGTCTTCCCAACGACGGTGCGAGTCGCACACTAATTCGTGAAGCTCCCAAAAAACCTGCTGTGCTGGCAGTACAGCAAGGGGATTCGTGAACCCGACTGTGCAGACTTTTGCGTCTTATTCCCACATAGGCGTGTTGGGATGTCTACCCCGAGTTCTCTAGTTCCCCCCCCACCCCCCCCCACAAAGCAAAGCATTGATGCGATTTTTAAAACATGTCAATGGAGAACACTCCTGAATTAACTCGAGACTTTTTTTTCCTGGTAAACGTGTCATTGTCACTGCGTGCTGTCATGATGCTGGGGATCTACATACCTAGCTCCGGTTGGTACATTGCTGTGGTTCAGGGTCCTTGTGAAGTTCGTGTCTACGCCACTGGAAATGTGTGTTATGTTAGGAGTTTTACAAAACCTCAAGTTTCTCATCAATGTCTCGCAATTTGTGTGTAAGTGTTCATTACTTACATCGGCTGTTAAATGCTGAGACTTGTACACTTGCAAAGATGGTACTTATAAACCATTGCCGGTTGTATTTAACTCCTTGAAGCCGCACATTCCCTTGAATCGGGGTCCTTCAGTATTCATCGAGATGTTTGCCCCTTGCATGTGGCAGCATTTCAATAGCTGTGTACTGCATACAGAACGCATATCGCTGGATTATAGCTAAATCCATCGTGATCAGGCCGAAGTGGCTGAACTTGCTGGCCGTGTTTGCCTTTCATAGATTTTCTGGCAGTTTACTTTTATAATCTGAAATTATGCATCCTTATCTTAATACTATTTATTACATGTCAGATTTTTTTTGTCCAGAAAATCTGACATCTAATCTGCATTATTTAGCCAGCCTCAATACAGAATTGCCAGCAAAAATGTATGTCGGTCTGTATTTAAAAAAACATGGATTTTGAACATAAACGTGAACTTCTCCTCTGTAGGCACCTACAAACCATCGCATGAGCTCATGCTGAAGTTTTATGGTTTTTACAAGCAAGCCACCCAAGGACCATGCAAGATAGGTCGCCCCGGTTTTTGGGACCCCGTTGGACGCTACAAATGGTAGATTATCTTTGATCATTATCAGTAACAAATCTGCTCATCTAATTCAGCTGTATAATAAAGTGGTAATCAAGTACAGTAGTATTATTGTCATGTTAGCTTAAACCTTTATTGTGTTGTATTTGCAAACTCCTATAAAAGTTTAGGGAATAGACAATGGTAGGCAATGGGCTGTTGTGACAATAGTAACCTGCCAAGTATTTAACTGCATCGTGTGGTAGTTGTTGATTTGAAAATGTCTTTTGCTTTGACAGGGATGCCTGGAAATCCCTTGGTGAAATGTCGAAAGTGGAGGCCATGATAGCATATGTGGATGAGATGAAAAAGGTGGGAGGGCAGGTAAAGTCTAGCACTGCTCAAAACAACCTCATAGCCTTTATACATTACTGTACTGCCGATTGTAATTCTGATTAATGATTCAACTTTGTTTTACTTATTTCATAATTACTAACCAAATACCAAGATATAGAAAAGTAACCTAACTTTTTTGGCACAAAAAAATATATTTTTTCATCTAACATGAAAATAAATTGCATGTTCATCACAAGGCTTGGTTGTGATCAGTGCATTGACTTACTGAAAACATGCATGACATTTTGCTTCAACCACCTCGACACACTTCTGTCACTTTCCAACTATAAAATGTGTTTTTTATTGTAGATCCTGGAAAGCATGCCAGTTACGGACAAAGTTGAAGAGCTTCTGCATTTGCTTGGTCCATTTTATGAGGTTGTATGTGACATGCCAAGGCCACCAGGTTTCCCGACATCTCAGGCCGCAGGTATTAAACGCACGTCTTGTATTTTACCTTTGACTGCCTGCATTAGACTATTACTTAACTATTTCAAGGCCACATACGGAGGCATGTATGCTATCAGAAACGTTTAAACTAAATACGCTTCCAGTCATGTTTTATAATTGTAATAAAATCAGAATTACACATTCATAACCAGCATATTCAAATAAATTAGGTATTTATTTAACACAAAGCTTTGCCCGATACTTTGTTTTAGAAAAACTCGACAGAATGGCAAAGTCACTTGAAGGTAAGCAATGATTCATTGTGGTTTCTCAAATTATATTTCCCATTGTGAATAAAACCTTGTGGAATACATAATACAGCAGCAACAAAACTATGTATTGTATGTGTCGTTCTTGAGCACGAGTGTCACATTTTGTTTCAGAATTAAGTGGGGTATTGACATCCACTCCCAACCACAATGGACAGGCACATTTCCAAGACAACCAAGATGAAGATGACAGTATTGATGATGGTATTGTGTGAATAAGTTTGAAGTGTGTCCTGTACAGTATATAACTATGAAGGATAATATGAAAGTGGGGAATCACACATTGCTTTACAAATTATTTTCTCAAAAAATGAGCCTGGAGGAAAAAATAAAGCTATAACTGTTAACATTGTTGTCCTTTTAGATGATGGAAAAAATCAGTTACTTCAAGTAAAGTGGCCTGAAAGTGACCAGCATGAAGAAAGAGAGTCTCATGCACTTCACGCAGAATCTAGTGATGCAATTAACTTGAATAACCAAATGATACATTTAGAGCAGTGTGAAAATAGTGAAAGAAATAACGGATTGGACAGTGGACGAGAAAGTGACCTGGGGAGTAGTCCACCAGAAAGTATGACTGGCTCAGAGTCAGAACTGGAGCACATTACACAAATTGAGCATGGAGAGGAAGGCCCAGAACAATCTGGGGAAGACGAGGAGAGGCGCACCCCACAGGAGTCAGACATTGACCCGAAGTATACTTCTAGTGGCAGGACTTCAGGTAAGCAATAGAAAACACTCGAAACTAACTCGATTACATATACAAACGGCACTTTTTTTCATTTTCCAGCTGATTTATTGCAGTCCTGCTTTACATTTAATGCCCGTGTTTTTTTTGTGTAGTTTTGGCAGGCGGTGAGGCCCGTGTGCAGCACCTCACCAGCGACTCTGATAGCGAAGTGTTCTGCGACTCAGTTGAACAGATTATGCTGGAGGAGGCATGGGAAAGTGCTGGAGGGACAAGGGGTCTGCTCAACCATTCCGATGCACTCGACCAGCGCAACTGCTTGTCGGCCGATCTGGCCATAACTCGGCCTGTTGGCCATGGTGGGGAAGGACTGGGTCCTGGGCAGGGAAAGCCAGGCAGTGATAAAACAGGACCCAATGAAGGAGAGAGACGTGGGATAAAACCTGAGAGAGGTTTGTGCTCTGCACCTTAGAACAGCACGAGAAACTATTACTTGTTGAAATTGTTCATGTGAACAAACTAGATACTTATGCTATTAACAGGTGGAAGGAGAGCCACTCCAAGAGAAGGTGCCCGAGGACACCACTCGGGAGGGAGCGGGGCTGGTGGTGGCGATGGAGACGATGTGGGAGAAAGCCGAAGGCACCAGACTGATGTCAGCGAGCAAATTGCCGCTACATTGGTGCGGTTACAGCAGGACATGCAGAGTGTCCTGCAGAGGCTGAGCACGTTGGAGGCTTTGGCAGCTACACAGGTGCGTCCCTCAGTTGTGTGCATTAGAACACTAATGCTATTGTAATTGTGTAACATTTTCTAATTGCAAATTAATTGTCCACTTCTCTCCACAGCATTATGAAATGCATGTTCCTGCAAGATCGGTAGGTGAACACATTTTTTAAAATTATCAATAATTTAATTACAAATTGTGCACCGAATAGTAATTATATAGTACATATGTAAGAGTACAGTGCATTTGCCCACTATACATCTTTAAGATTGAAAGTTCCTTCTCTCATGGAATGCTGCACATTCAGTCAGTATACAAATGCCTGAATATTTTTTCTTCGACTTTATTAAACACTACTTTTCTTGGCAGAACCATTCTGGGTGGCCATTTGAGATGTCTGCTCCAGCTCTGATATTCTTCATGATTTGGCCATTTGTAGCACAGTGGCTGGTACACGTTCTCCGGCAACGCAGGTAACATGGAATCACAAGTCATCCATAACTAATATTATCTGTGTTTGACGTCCGATTTGAACAGTTTGTATATGCATGTATAACTTATTTCGTACGTAGCCAACCACGCAAAGTGTAGAAGCCATATTATGAGTGATATATTATACCAAGCATGTGCCTTGAAACCTAATTTTAAATGTGTGCTTTACTGAGAAATGTGCACGTTAAAATATTGATTCTAAGTAGCACCTAACTGCAGATGTTGTGAACACAACATGAATTATTTTTTTATTGAGGGGCTCTCATCTTTTGCAGAAAAATCAAGAAAGCTGGTGCATTCTTATCATCATTACACTGAATAAGAATAACATGAAGAGAAAAATACTTTGGGCTGTGCCAGTGTTTAACAATAATTTATTGATTAACTTTATTCATTGTGTTTGAAAGGTTAATTACAGTATAGATTCATCAGCTATGTGGATTATCTGCTGAACACCTCATCTATACTCTAGTCTGTACCTGTTTTTTTTCTGTGAACTGTTTAAAATGTTCAAAGTGAAATACGATTGAGGGTGTCGATATGAGAAGAAATCATTAGAATTTAGCAACTTGGACCTTGAAATATTTAGTAATTAGACACCACGAATGTGGTATTCCACAATACTTGATTCATCAGAATGTATTTGAGTCAAGGGGACAGCAACATTTTATACATCCAAGCCAAACACAATTTATATATAGACAATGGTTTACTTGGCCTCTAAGGGATTGATACAATATTTGGTACAGAACAAAAATATCAATTTTTATCAATGCTTTAGGCCATGTTAAGAGTAAGTCAATGTGCAAAGGGATTTTTTAAAAATAATTTAATATTACAAATTGTCCATTTTTGTTATGCATTTTTAGGAATATAGAATGCTCTGTACTTCACTGGTGGGAGAACCCGATGTGTGGCACATGTAGGACATTGAATTCACTCGGCAATTAGGAGCCAGCAACAATTGGCACAGCCCTAAAATATTTGTTGAAATGTTTTATATTTGCAACCCATTAGAGACATTTAAATATGGAGATACATATATTAAAGGGAACGAAATACAATTGTGATTTGCGGCGCTTAATTTTATAATTAACATTAATTGTCGAAGTTAATGACAACAGTTTCAGTTGTAAATGTATTTCTAATGAATAACGCTGCTACTTTGAAAATTTGAACACGTTTTAAAATAAGCCTATTGCGATAAACACTAAGCATAACAAGGAGCTGTAATTGCCTAACATTTTAAAACATCTGTATAGTTTGAATTAATGAATTAAACAAAAACAAATGTACCATTTTGTGAAGTCATTCATTTGTGCTCACCCAAACATGACAAACACAAATAAACACCTTTGTACACTTACGATACATTTATTTAAAGATAACACAAGCACAACCCTCAGAAGTAGTTCTTTAACATTTTCAGCTATCCCATGCCCAAGAAGTTAAAGCATTACAGTATTTTCATGGCATTTCTGGAAGTTCAAGTTAGTATTGATGTACTGTTAGATAGAAACTACTTTGGGAACCTGTTAGTGCCACTCATGTTGGTACTAGGCTTCTATGTCAGTCTTGGGGCAAAGTATTTTGCTTGTAGGATTTGAAAACCTAACTGAAAATGCATTATACTTAAAAAGTATAAAAGCCAGAAGCAAACTTGTTTATGACAAAACTTAAGGATTTAAAAAATAGACCTTTATTTACATTTCATGGTAATTAACAATGTTGAAAGTTACTGTTAATGATGAAAAATTACTCTAACCACAAGTCAAATTTGGAATTAACAGAAATCACTTTTAGGAAATTGTGGTTTGACTGTGAAACTAAAGTGTAATATGAGAATGCCATTACAATAACATGGGGCAAGAAATGTTGTCACTCCAAATACTGTTTATGACAAGTCTGCTCAAGCTATGCGCAGTATTATGAGGTTTAGGCAGTGAACACTTCAAAGGCTAAACTCTGAGACCTGCAAGTGCTGAGCGTCATTGCGAGCCTGGAAGTACGTAGTGTCAGTCTCATCATCCGGCTGTGGCACAAATGGCATGGGTTGCTCCTGCAGGTTTTCCCAGTCCATGCCATTAAACAACACGTGCTGCTTCAAATCTGTGGAAGAGGACCTCATAAGCGCTGAAAGCAAAGCATGTACAGCTTATAAACCAACACTGCTGACGTATTGACACTTGAGCTGCTGCTATTTACCCTTGAAGGTGGCACGCTTGCTGTCGTCCATTGTAAGAAGCCTAGATATCGCATCCTGGGTGTGGCAGGACAGTGTCTCCTCCCCTAATGGCCAGGGAATATCTGTAATGACAGTAAAGGTCATAAGTCTTGTAAAATAAAACATCACTGGGCTTTTCTACCATCATCCACAAAAATATATGGAGATTATTTTATAGAATCTTAAGTATAGTTGTGCAGTATACTAATTATTGGTGTTTAGTTAATCTTAATTATCAGCGTTTTGGGAAATGATGCAATAAGTTGAGTAATGCATAGTAAGGTTATGGCAGCTCCACTGACTTACCTCTCTTGAGAATGTTCTGAAAGACCAGGTTTGGGGTCTCGTCATTAAAGGGTGGGATTCCCGTTAGAAATTCAAACAGGCACACTCCGAGGGACCACCAGTCGACGTTTGGGCCTGCGCAAATATGTACAACTATATCATAATGCACACGCTTTGCTGTGATAATATTCAATGACTTTAAGGTACAAAGTGGCAGAGCATGTGACTAAAATATTTCAATGGCATTTAACACCAGCTTGTGTGCTACAGAGTAATGTGCAGTGTGTGTGCACGGTACCATGAGGCTTTCCCAGCAGTAACTCTGGTGCCAGGTAGTCGGGGGTACCCAAGATGTGCAAGGCCGCAGCTGGGGTCTGCCCTCTGCGCACACTCTTCGGTGTTCTATACGGAGTCTGCACTTTTCGGCACGGAGTCTACACAACCAGCGCATCCGGACACTGAACATACTACACACATCTCCACTGGTGCACACAGTTGAAAAAGCATCATATTTACATGTGTGTCCTCCCAAGAACAAAATTCTGCCAAACTTACCGTAAAGGAGGTAGGCTTTTGAGTGGGGGTAAGGTAGTGATGCATGCTACTGGAATGAAGTGGAGACTCCATCAACACGTCCATGGATGCACTAATGATCTTCTTGCCAGCAGGACTTTCTCCAAGACTCTGCATGCTGTCCCCTAAACATTCCTGGCTTTTGAACACCACAACATTCTTTTTTATCTGTATAAGATGCTTTGTCCCAACAGAGTCATGCTTAGGACAATGCTGTTGTTGGAATTGACTTGAAGGCTGCTTGAAGCATGCAGCATCTGGTCTTGGAAGCATAGAAATATTGTTGCAGTACTGTGTGGGTTCCAAGTCATTTTGCTTTGGACTAATATGTTCTTTGGTGGAATCGGTGAAGTTGTCTTTAAGCTTGCAGTCCTCAAATGAGAGGTCCTTTAAGCTCTTATCCAGGTCTGATAGGCTCCTCTCCATGTGAGAGCTGTCATTACCAGATGAATTAAGAGAACTACTGAAGCTTCTCCTCAGATCTTTTTCAACAGGGTCCACACAAATACTGTCGTGTGTCTTTTTTTCAAGGTGTGTAAGCAGATTTTTTGCAACAGATGGAGTACTGCTTTTGCAAACTATATGCTCTATCTGCCAATCATTTTTGGTTTTTAAAAGGTCCTTGGATCCACTTATCGGTGCCGAAACATTTACGCCATTTTCAGCTTCTGTGCTAGGTAAAGTATGGTAGGTATCAACGTTACAGTCGGAGCCTATATCTGGCTTTTGATTTCCTTGAATGCAAATTGTATTCACAAATGTAGTCAAACCTGTATGGCAGTTCTTTTTGACATTGGAAATCTTTGCTGCCCTCTCATACTGTCGAACTTCGTAACGTCCAACGTGGTTTTTTAATCTTACCGGGCTTTGCTCTAATTCTTCAAATCTCCTCTTTACTCTCCCTTGTGATGGATGTCCAAAATTGCCATCACATTCGCATCCCAACATTTCGTCTTGTTTCATTTGTCTTTTTACCATAAAAGTACCATCCCGTTGATTACGTAAATCCACCATATTTTGAACCACTACATTCTCTTTATTCTCGTTCAAAACTGATGGCATGCAGTCTTCTTGTACACAACTATTTTCACTTGCATTGTTCATAAAACGGCTCGCCACTTCAGGACTACATCTTTTCCAGATACCCTCATCTGAGAAATCATTGAATTCTGGACTAGAGACAGCAGGCTTCTCTGTGACCAGTGGTTCATCCAGGATACTTGTCCATGTGGAATGAACCCCTACATAAGACTTGTCAGAATCTGCATTATTTGTAGCAAAACCTGAACTCTTTGAAGCAATGTGCGGCATCTCCAGCATTGTAGCTAAAGTTGTGCTCTTTGAAGAGTTCAAATAAATTTTCCCTTTATCTTGGCTGCTTGTACCACCAATTATTGGAACCTGGTGAACAACAATTATTTACACATCAATTAGACTTAGGAAAAGAATCATGAAGTACAATAATTAACTGCATATAAAAACTGAATACATCCTACCTTATCGACGATTTGTGTATCTGCATATTGTGTCACTCTGTCAGTCTGCAGCACCGAGCTGGTGTGGGGAGACCCACGGGAGCCACAGCTGCTTGGGGAGCTGTGTGACTTGAGCAGGCGCGGTGTCAAAGACACCACAGGGGCTGGAGAGCTGTGCATAGCACCTCCACCTGCTGAGAAAACACATTTCAGGACCTATTACTCTGACATTGCTGAATGCAGAGATAAGACTTCAACAAAGCATGATATATATTCCATTGTACTTTCAGATATGGAAGAGAAATATTTGAATCCCTTGATAAGTGTAATTAGGAAGCTTCTCAAAAATACAACTTACCAAGTGCCGAGAGCCTTTTGTTTAACTTTCTTTTAAATGCATGAGGAATGTTAAGACTGTACTTTTTTTGGGAGGATTTGATGGAGATATCATTTTTTTGATCTAAGAACATGACGCTTTCATTTATCGGCCCTCCTGCAGGTGACGTCAAGCTCATGTCTATGTCAGTTCCTCTCTGTGTTGTCGTCGTTGAATCAAGCTCTCCAACGCTCCGCGACACCATGAGGCTAGATCCCGCAACGGAACTGAGTGTACAATGTGTGTTGTGCATCCCTGGCTCCAAAGTAGAGGAGATGCTACCACACATTGTGTTTTCACGCTGCATACTATCATAGCACACATTTTCTGGCGAAGACATCGGATTGCAGCCGGACTTCTCAGCAGATTTCTGAAATAAACAGAGCACAAAATAAGTTTAGGTGCAGTCTGTAATCTGTCCCCTGTTTGGTCGATTAATAGATTTCAGACATTTAGATGTTTCGCATTATTTACAGGGAAAAAAAATCAGTTTCAAACCTCTTTATGATATGCAGATGTGTGTGTAACTTACAAAGGCAAAGGATGTGACAAGGGAGAGTATCTGGCCAGGAGTTCGAGAGATACTCATTTTAGAGTTCTTAATAGAAGGTGTGTACATGATGTCAGCCATGTTGATCTCTGAAAAATATAAAAGCCAATAAAGATTGATGCAATTAAGTAAAGACAACAATATAAAACACAAGAGCACCAATTTGGAAAATACTTAGTAATGCACATTAGTTAAAACTTGATTTGGAGCTTTCATGACTGCAGGAATTACTTTTTGGTTCTTTCGGTAAAGTGACGTAGAAAGAAAATGAATTAAATGATAGAATACGACGTTTTGATTGCAACACAAGCAATAATCATCAGGTACGAATGAATGAGAAAAAACAAACCTAGTAAACTTAGAAATATGATGCAATACAACACAGAGAGTCGGCTAACATAACAGTTAACACTCTACCTGGTTGATTAACGTTCTTCCTAAGAGTGCCGCGTCTGTGTTTTGTCTCGATAAAATGTAGCAATATTTGGAAGAACGTAATCAACCAGGTAGGGTGTTGACTGTTATGTTAGTCGACTCTCTGTGTTGTATTGCATCATATTTCTAAGTTTACTAGGTTTCTTCTCACTTATTCGTACCTGATGATTATTGCTTGTGTTGCAATCGAAACGTCGTATTCTATTATTAAATTTATTTTCTTTCTACATGACTTTACCGAAAGAACCAAAAAGTAGCACATATTAGTTGTGAAGTACTGTACTTTCCGAAAAGCTTTGCCGTGTTTCTGAATACTGTAGTTAAAAGAGTGACAATCTATTGCTCATACCTCGGTTTAAGGAGACCCTAGACAGACCAAAATCTGTGAGTTTTATGTGTCCTGTATCAGAGATGAGCATATTATCTGGCTTCAAGTCCCTGTGAAACACAAAGGCATAGGTAAATTAAGACTCTCATTGAACGCATTTGCATATACTTTTATATGTACTTTATTTTAAGGAAGCGAATACTATCCCCACAGAAACGGGGGAAAGAATCCGTAGTCCCTGGCACTCCTCTCCCCCGCAGAATGTTTTTGTATCCAATCACAGACCTTCACTCATACCTTTGAATAACATCCAGTGACCTTCCTGACCTTTTTACTTGGGAGATTTTTTAAAAAATATCCAATTACTGCTTACCACTTCAGTAGTGCCCAAAACTGCTTTCCTTCACCCCATATCTTCAGGGTCAGAAGTGCATAAGATTTTATCCTTACCTTGCATCTGCAGGAACAGTAGTCATAAATGTCTAAGACTGGTTTTCAACGATTGTTTAACTTCAGGGGAGGCAATGAGGCAACATGTACTACAGAGACATTGACAAGCATTGCATAATTATGTAAGATAAAAAAAAACAAAGTACACTTAAAATAAACCAATAATATACCCGATTATCTTATACATATGTTGTGGATTCAACTGAGTTGCAGACGTACTTCTTGGAGGCAACACATTTATTAATACCAACACATACCACAAAGGGGTTACTGCCCCTTTACCAGATAACCTATGGTGGTGGACCACCAGGCTAACTACGCTAGTTACTGGGAGTAGCTGCAACAGACAGGACCCTAGCTGGGGTCCTCATCCACGTGTTGGTGACTTCTTCTTGGACGTAGAACGTAGATCGTAGACCTTCAGATGACGGCAGCAACGCTGAACCCCTGTACGGACCCCGGTTTATATGCTGCTGGGCCGTGGCTGGCCTCCCCCTTGGCCACGACCACCTTTGAGAAACCTTTTGCTGTTTCTCGACCCTTCCTGTAGGATTTACCCTGGCACGTGACCACCCCCAAGCCCCCCACCTGGGGCCCTTGTGTAGATCTTACTGGTCACGTGCCTTCCAGGATCAACCAGAGTGCCATCGCCTAGGGTAACCTTATCCCATGGCTGAGACTCCTACACTCCCTCCTGATGGAGTCACCACTACACTCCACGCGTGGTGCCACTGCGCTATCCCAGTGCTAACCGAGCCCCCCCTAGGGCTGGTACTACACCCACCTACGGGGTGTCCGCGATGACAATGCATCGCACGCCATGCCTCGCTAGAGCCGGCATTACTCAGTGACATTCACGATGTCGCTACATACGTGATGTCCGCGATGTGAGTACATCGCATGCGGTGCCCCTCTAGGGTCGGCACATTACAGTGACATCCGCGATGTTACTACACGTACAATTACGTTCCATGAGTACAGAAAACAGTGTTGAAATGTTCCTGCCGTAAAGAGGAACGTTAGGTTTAGGGCTTGGAGAGTGCAGCGCTTGTGCACCAGCGGTGTGTGCCGCCCACCGGTGTATGATGCCGTGGCGATGTAGGTAGTCAAGAGCCAGTGCCACCTCGGCGATGTACTTCACAGCCATGTCCTCATCAAAGTAGCCGTAAATGTGCAGCAGTGACTTCACATCACCGCCAATGAGGTACTCCATCACCTTAACGCATAATTTCACCCTTGTCATTATTCCTCCAAAGGCAACGCAAACATGCATTGTTTCATCTGATAAGGTATAAAAGTGTCACAATTCATTCTGAAATAATCTCTCTCATACTGATAAAGACTGCAATCGATTTAACAAATACATTAGTCACAACGTGGTTTCAATAACGTATACCAAAAAAGCAACTACAATAAATAACAAGTGTTTATTCACCAGATAGATATTGTTAGCAGACTGCAGAGAGTAGAACAAGTGTACGATGGAAGGGCTCTTGCTGAGAGCCAGGGCATCCCTCTCAGCCTGCACCTGGAGCACCATGTTCTTGTTGACCATGTCCGCCTTCTTCATCACCTGTAGAATGCACTGGAATTGGTTACACGAACAGTGCCAACAAGCTCTGAAGTATAAGAGGCTTTTTTATGGGTTAGATCACGTAAATATGTGTCGTTAAAACCCACCACCACACAACTAGTAAGGGTTGTCACGTAAACAGAACGTGGCCAATTCGTCACTAGTACAGCACACCGGTGTGTTGGAGAGCCAAGCCACAACATTTACAATCCGAGTACGACGTTTCGACAAAGGGCAGCGTACTTCAATAGGGATTACCATTGGTAGGGCTATTTTAATCAACACAACAGACAGGAAGGACAAGTTCAAAGTGCTTGCATAATGCACATGCATAATGTACGTTGCCTCAGTAATCCCTCCCCCCCCACATTGTGCAAGAGCGCAGAAGCGTGGTCAACACATCTACGCCTCCAACACACCGGTGTGCTGTACTAGTGACGAATTGGCCACGTAATGTTTACGTGACAACCCTTACTAGTTTGCTGTGTCGGGTGGTGGTGGGTTTAAAAGACACAATTATATATTTACGCGATCTAAGCCAAACAAAACCCTCTATTGTGGATGAAATTGGTCGCAAAAGCCGACGTGTTAAACCGAGCTCTGAAGTAACATTGTTGATGTTACGTATGTTTGTCTGCTTCAAACATTTTACTGGCAACTGACTGTGCTGAAACATATGTGATATAGCACGATTATTACGAGAAATGTATTTATAATGGAATGGACGTAGCCGGCAGATGTACAGATTATATTGTACAGGTAAAAACCTATAACGGTGTGTGTGGTTGTGTACAAGCTTGGGTGTGTGTGTGTGCCTGTGTGTGTCAAGCGATGTGAAGGTGTGCAAATAACTCTGCATGTGTGAATGCTCGCCTGTGTGTAGTCATCTCAGTCAATCAACCCTGCTGCGTCTCTTCCGTGATCTCCTGCCAGCGAGCCTTCGACATTTCACGTGGCCTCAAAGTGCACCTAGCATGGCACAAGCGCCACGTCGCCACCACTTCGAACGGCGGTTGCTGTTGTGATTCTCTGTGTGACTGTGGTTTGTGTGACAGTCTGCGTGAATAAGCGTGTCTGCATGTATGTATGTGGCTGGGTCATGTCGCCCGCATGCCCAGCCACCGCATGCCGAAACAGCTTTTGTTCGGCCGGATCGAGGGGGCTAAACGGGCGCGGCACGGGCTAGAGAAGAGATGGAGTGATGTGGTACAGGAGGCACGGGCTAGAGAAGAGATGGAGTGATGTGGTACAGGAGGCACGAGGCTAGAGAAGAGATGGAGTGATGTGGTACAGGAGGCACGGGCTAGAGAAGAGATGGAGTGATGTGGTACAGGAGGCACGGGGCTAGAGAAGAGATGGAGTGATGTGGTACAGGAGGCACGGGGCTAAAGAAGAGATGGAGTGATGTGGTACAGGAGGCAAGGGGCTAGAGAAGAGATGGAGTGATGTGGTACAGGAGGCACGGGGCTAGAGAAGAGATGGAGTGATGTGGTACAGGAGGCACGGGCTAGAGAAGAGATGGAGTGATGTGGTACAGGAGGCACGGGGCTAGAGAAGAGATGGAGTGATGTGGTACAGGAGGCACGGGGCTAGAGAAGAGATGGAGTGATGTGGTACAGGAGGCACGGGGCTAAAGAAGAGATGGAGTGATGTGGTACAGGAGGCACGGGGCTAGAGAAGAGATGGAGTGATGTGGTACAGGAGGCACGGGGCTAGAGAAGAGATGGAGTGATGTGGTACAGGAGGCATGGGCTAGAGAAGAGATGGAGTGATGTGGTACAGGAGGCACGGGCTAGAGAAGAGATAGAGTGACGTGGTACAGGAGGCACGGGGCTAGAGAAGAGATGGAGTCATGTGGTACAGGAGGCACGGGGCTAGAGAAGAGATGGAGTGATGTGGTACAGGAGGCACGGGCTAGAGAAGAGATGGAGTGATGTGGTACAGGAGGCACGGGCTAGAGAAGAGATGGAGTGATGTGGTACAGGAGGCACGGGCTAGAGAAGAGATGGAGTGATGTGGTACAGGAGGCACGGGGCTAGAGAAGAGATGGAGTGATGTGGTACAGGAGGCACGGGCTAGAGAAGAGATGGAGTGATATGGTACAGGAGGCACGGGGCTAGAGAAGAGATGGAGTGATGTGGTACAGGAGGCACGGGGCTAGAGAAGAGATGGAGTGATGTGGTACAGGAGGCACGGGCTAGAGAAGAGATGGAGTGATGTGGTACAGGAGGACGTGGAGCTGAGTGGACTTGCCGATGACTGGTACCAGCGGTGTCAAGATCGGCCTCTGTGGAGGAGGCTCGTGAAGGACACTACTGGGCAGTTGGAGGTAGTCGCCCTCCAACAACAACGGAGGGCGGAGGAGCGACGCTCACAACAACGAGCGGAGCGCCGGGTGGCTAAAGCACAGCAGGTTGGCACAGTAGGGGGCACAGGTGGTGCATCAGCCAGTCATCTCAGTCAGTCGACCCGTGGCACCTGGGTCTGCCCCGTGACCTCCTGCCAGCGGGCGTTCGACACTTCACGTGGCCTCAAGGTGCACATGTCCTGGCACAAGCGTCGTGGTGACGTCACCGCCACTTAGTGGCGAATGGCGGCTGTTGTTGTATATGTCGACTCAGCCTTAATTGAGTACCTGGTGCGGTGAGCAGACAGGCGACCGGGCGTAGTGTTGGCCATGCACCACCCCCCCCCACCTCGTGTGCCGTGACGGCAATCATAGGTGCCCGCTACCGACGCTTACAACCCCAACAATCTGTTTAAGGGCTGTGGAGGTGAGATCTTTGTTACCCTGGGCAAGTCTGTACGCCAGGGTGCGTGCGGGTGACCGCTCACCTTGATCGCGTAGAGGTGTCCCGTGCTCTCCCTGCGCGCCAGGTAGACCTTGCCGAAGGCTCCACGGCTGATGGGCTTCAGGGTGCGGAAATCCGCGATGCTCGGTGGCCCCGGCACCGCCAGCAACACGACGGAGCCCGACTCGGTCCCCTGGCCCTGCTGCCCCCCCGAGCCCGAAGCGGGGGGGCACGGCCGCGTGTCGTCGAGGGCCTCCATCACGGTCACAGCCAGGCGTGGGGGGGACGGGTCCCGGGGCTTAAAAGCGTCAGAAAAAAACACAACCACCACCACCCCCCCTGGGTTCGCCTGTTCCTTCCGTCTGTGTCACCAGCGTCCCAGATCCTATTTATCAAGGCTCTGTCTCTTTGTGTATCTGTTCCCGAGTCTCTTATTATCCCATAACCCCCCACCCACCACCCCGTATCTCGACTCCTTTCCCCTACCCCTCTCTCGTGTTTGACCCCCTATATCGTGTGTTCTACGGCTCCTTGTCCGTCGATTGTCTCCAAATGTGTCCCCGTGTTTATCTCTCGTCTCTCAGTGCTGTCTTATCTCATGCCTCTGCTGCCTATCTTTCTTTTGTCATGTCTCTGGATCAGTCTCTGTCCCATTCACTGTCTCTTGCCTCGGGCTCTCACTGTCGCTGTTGTCCCATTGTCTATCCGATAGTCTGTTTTGTTGTTGTTGTTCACATTTCTTGTCTCGCTGTCTCCTTGCTCCCTCCCCGTCTTAGTATTCGTCCACCTGTCCTTATCACACTTGTCCCTTTCCTCATATCTCAGTGTCTGTCCCTTGTTCTCCGTCCCAGTTTACCGCTACACGTCTCAGTCCCTCGTTGTCTCCGTCTCTGTGTATGTCTCTCGTTGTCTCTGTGTATGCCTCTCGTTGTCTCTGTGTATGTCTCTCGCTGTCTCCGTCTCTCGCTGTCTCAGCCTCTCGCTGTCTCTGTTCCTGTGTATGTCTCTCGCTGTCTCAGTCTCTCGCTGTCTCTGTCCCTGTGTATGTCTCTCGCTGTCTCAGTCTCTCGCTGTCTCTGTCCCTGTGTATGTCTCTCGCTGTCTCAGTCTCTCGCTGTTTCAGTCTCTCGTTGTCTCAGTCTCTCGCTGTCTCAGTCTCTCGGTGTCTCAGTCCCTGTGTATGTCTCTCGCTGTCTCAGTCTCTCGCTGTCTCTGTCCCTGTGTATGTCTCTCGCTGTCTCTGTCCCTGTGTATGTCTCTTGCTGTCTCTGTCCCTGTGTATGTCTCTCGCTGTCTCAGTCCCTGTGCATGTCTCTCGCTGTCTCAGTCTCTCGCTGTCTCTGTCCCTGTGTATGTCTCTCGCTGTCTCAGTCTCTCGGTGTCTCATTCCCTGTATATGTCTCTCGCTGTCTCTGTGTATGTCTCTCGCTGTCTCAGTCTCTCGCTGTCTCTGTCCCTGTGTATGTCTCTCGGTGTCTCAGTCTCTCCCTGTCTCTGTCTCTCCCTGTCTCTGTCTCTCGCTGTCTCAGTCTCTCGCTGTCTCTGTCCCTGTGTATGTCTCTCGCTGTCTCAGTCTCTCACTGTCTCAGTCCCTTTGTATGTCTCTCCCTGTCTCTGTGTATGTCTCTCGCTGTCTCTGTCTTAGTCTCTCCCTGTCTCTGTGTATGTCTCTCGCTGTCTCAGTCTCTCGCTGTCTCTGTCCCTGTGTATGTCTCTCGCTGTCTCAATCTCTCACTGTCTCAGTCCCTTTGTATGTCTCTCCCTGTCTGTGTCTCTGTGTATGTCTCTCGCTGTCTCAGTCTCTCACTGTCTCAGTCCCTGTGTATGTCTCTCGCTGTCTCAGTCTCTCGCTGTCTCTGTCCCTGTGTATGTCTCTCGCTGTCTCAATCTCTCACTGTCTCAGTCCCTTTGTATGTCTCTCCCTGTCTGTGTCTCTGTGTATGTCTCTCGCTGTCTCAGTCTCTCACTGTCTCAGTCCCTGTGTATGTCTCTCCCTGTCTGTGTCTCTGTGTATGTCTCTCTCTGTCTCTGTCCCAGTCTCTCGCTGTCCCCACTCTCCCCGCTCTCATTTTGAAATGCGCCAGTGAGGTCCTTCAGTAAGGACCCCTAACCGAAAGGCGTCCTCGCTGCCTGACTTGTTTCACAGTGCGCGTCACCACGTGATTGTCATGATATTGGAAGAGAAGAGCGCTTGTAAGTAATAACTGTGCACGATTTAATGTTCGTCGTATTTTAAATGTATTTAAAATAAAACCAAACTCTTACTGCTATATAATGAAACGGGATTGCAGCGCGGAGCATGTATTTTAAATCAGGCGAGCGCTGCGGTCACTTGAACGATGTTAACGTCAAACAGCTGATAATAGATTTTGATTTAAAGCTTTCGTGACTGCAGGGATTCATATTCTTGGTTCTTTCGGTAAAGTCACGTAGAAGGGGAATTTTATTGTTTTATATTTTTATTATTTTATCGTTTCCCTTCTACGTGACTTTACCGAAAGAACCAAGAATATAGCTGATTATAGGTTTTTCCCCCTTTTTCTGGCAGCAAAAACAGGTGTTAAGTTCTTAGTTTTTTCGGTAAAGTCACGTTGAAGAGAAACAACAAAACAACAAAATATATATAAAACAATAAAAATTCTCACGACGTTTCGACCATAACTCAAACGGTCATCATCAGGTGTGTCGGTTTGCATAAATTTATTTAAAAAAACGGCACATTTATTTATTTATAAAAAAACGTTGGCGTCACGCGCAGCGATTGGCAGTTTGCCCAGGACTAGTCCATCTATTTTTTGAAAAGAGGAGGGGGGAGACGAAATTTTTTATAATGTATGCTGTCTGAAAGCCACTGTAAGCGTGAACAATCAATCAAGAACTGAAATGATTTATCAAATCTTTCCAATGATTGCTAAGATAGAATCCATCTTCTCGGTTGAAATTGTCTCTGTGCTTGTATATGTGGATAGCCTCATGAACGAATCTCTCATGGAAGCCAGATGGCTTACAAAGAACCTCCGTCTTGGAAAAGTCAATGGCATGTGAGCCTACTGAATTAGAACAATGATCTGCTACGGCCGAGGTGTTGGTCCTACCGTGTTTAAGGTCTGCTTTATGTTCACGAATGCGGTCCGAGACATGGCGTTTGGTTTCTCCAATGTAACTACTACCACAGAGGCAACTTAGTTTGTAGACACCAGGGTATTGTATGTCCGGAATCACATCTTTTACAGACGGAACCAGATCACGGATTTTATGTAATGTGTTGAAACGGACCTGGATCTTGTGTTTATTCAAGATTTTGGAGATCTTTTTTGTGATCCCAGCAATGTAGGGTAAAGTGATGGTTTTGAAAGGCTCCTCAAGAGGGTTCTTCTTCATGGTTTGACAAAGGAATTAGCAATGCTAAATTATATGCTAATTCCTTTGTCAAGGCACTTGGCCTTTTTCTTCTCACACAGCTTAAAGGTCGTGATCTAAGCGTGGCTTCTTCCACTCCAGCGCTAATTCCTTTGTCAAGGGGTACCTCTGTGGATGTGTATACTTTAACTTAGCTATTTCAATGAGCCATTTCAATGCTAAATTATATGCTAATTCCTTTGTTAAGGCGCGTGGTCTTTTTCTTCTCACAGCTTAAAGGTCGTGATCTAAGCGTGGCTTCTTCCACTCCAGCGCTGTCCTCCAGACAGTCTCGTCCCTTCACCTGATGAAGGCCGCTTGTGTTGTGGCCGAAACGTCGTGATTTTTTGTTATTTTTTGTTATTTTATTTTCACCTACGTGACTTTACCCAATAGAACCAAAGAGTATGAACACAACCAATACACACATTCTTTGGGTCTTTTGGTAAAGTCACGTAGATATTTTGACTTAAAACGTTCGTGACTGCAGGAATTAATATTCTTGGTTATTCCGGTAAAGTCACGTAAATAGAAAACAAAAAATCTAAATGAGAATAGGGTTTTCCCCTTTTTTCTGGCAAGAAAACAGGTGTTAAGTTCATATTCTTAGCTTTTTCGGTAAAGTCACGTTGACTTTACCGAAAGAGCTAAGAATATGAATTACTGCAGTCACGAAAGCTTTAAATCAAAATTTAAAGGTGTTAAGTTGTTAAAACACCAAACTGAAACCTTTTACAAGGAATCATGTCTGCATTAACCACAATACTTGTGGTCAGAATGCGAACAAAAAATACTCTGACAATATATGCATTGTCTTTAGAACTTATTGGTCCACACCAGAGACAGCTTTCTTTTGAGCCTCACTGTCTACACAATGTCCAGATATAATGGTACAATATCCCATAATGCACGTTTTGCGCTTAGGTATTTCGTCTAATTTGGCCCCACGCAATTTCTAAAAGTTTAATTCATGAAAATGCAACACCACACAAATATACAACTGACCGCAACCAGAGCAAAACCAACAAAGATCCTCCGTATCACAGGCTGTTGGGGCAAGTGTGGTTCGCGAGCCTTTGCCACCCCACTGCTGATGTTTGCACACCGCACCAGGTACTCATATAAGGCTGAGTCGACCTGGAGGAGACCCAGCGCCAGGTCAAATATTCGTCACTGTTCTTGGTCGTGAGTGAGAATCGAACTCATGTTGCCAGGTTCGTAGCGCAGTGCACTCACCACTGCACCACCGCTTCCAGCAAACACCACTGACAAAGACAAACGCGCTGTGTCCCTGGAGTGTCAGTGGAGTACTTGCAGTAGGTGGTTAGCGTGTGACTTGGCGTGGCCTTCAACCCAACAGTGGCTTGAAAATGACCTACGACAGTGGTATGTATGGTTGGGATAGTAAGATGAAGCCAGTGTTTAAAATGAGAGTCAGCTGCAAGGTTCGCGTGGGTTTAATATCGCTCTTTTTTATTACAGCCCTCTCAAAAGAGTTCCATTCATCTCCCTCCGGCACCGTGATTACACCCACGCCACAAGGACTATCATGTGTGGCCGCTGTATTTCAAGCGTTCTGTAACACGGAAGAATTGCAGGGAGTGAGTCATTAACGTACCACATTGCTTTCTGATTATATGTTGCTGTGCTTTCCTGATGCCCGATTGGATCTGACCCAGGTTTTTCTTGAATAGGATACTTTTATCTATGTATGTTGAACTTATTTTGCACCGTACGTAGCCAACCATGTTAATCGGAGGTTAGCACAATTATATTGGCTTTTAGATGGTTATAAATATCATCTATTTGTGTCTCGGCCTCTCTGTGCGCTGCGTTGCACCACTATCGGAATAGATAACCTCGCATTCAATTAACCTTCAGAGCCAGGGTGAACATCCAACTCCAAACGTATTGAATGAATTGAACGAGGTAAAACTGATGGAAAAACACAGCACAAATACAGCATCTGTTAATACTTGGAAATATCAATACAATGAATGAACACTACAGCATCATAACATTGTCTTAGATAACATGAAACTCAACAATAGATCCTGGATGGACCAGGCACCTACCTTAGTACTGAATAGCTATACAAGAGAATAAGCTACTGTGTTAAGTAAGGGCACATCGTGTAATCACCATACTGCAGCCTAAATGTACAGCACTACACAACACTGAACTGTGGATGAGATATTTAGTCACCCTTGCTCTCAAGATCGCAATAAGGTTACATGGGTACAAGTCTGACTCGACTTATTCAATTACAAGTAACATTCACAATAAGGCAAGTGGCAGGCTTCGTTGTTAACTAGGCCTCATATTTATAACAATTGAAGAGCATTAAAATGTATTTATTTCAGTTTCTTTATTTTGGTATAGCCCTGTGAGCCATTCGGCTCTTGAATCGGGTGCAACCACAACAAACAAAAAAACAAAATCACGAAGAAGAAAAACATCTTAAAGTGACTATGTGACTGTGCAAACAGAAAATCCATTAAAAAACAGCAAAATATTCCTGAAAAAAGCACCGTACACTAACGCTGTGTGCAAAAAATCCCAGTGGGATGCAAGTCAAACAACAACA